TTCATAAGAAATTAATATGATGAGACTTAGAAGAAATTCTTCACTTAGTCTGCTACTGTGAGAGGTAGGAACTTAGTTTAACTTTTATTATTTTATTTACAGAATATGTTATGCCTATATAAATGTTACCAGTTTAATCTAAATTTGTGCAGAAATGTGGCACAGTTTTAATTAATGTAATAAAATGTTCCATCTAAAGTTTATCTGTGTTTCTTTAGATCCTTGTCATTTTACATTAAGATAGCTATTTGAGTAGATACAAGATGTGTTATTTCATTTTCTTTGTATTGGTGTTAGTAAGAAAAAAGGAACCATTTGGTGATCATATCAAGAAATTGATAATTCCTTTTAATTCACTAACATTTCAGCTGAAATGTCTAAGTGACTCCAATTATCCACAACTGGTAGACAGAGAAAAGCATAATAATTCTTTTTTAATGTTGAGGGAATCTTTAATCCAGGGATCATTGCCACTACTATGCCAGAATGGCTTTTTGTTAATCAGAGAGCCTTTAATACATCGAATCATGCATGCAGTGCAGTTCTCTGAACTAAACTTTCTCAGTAAACTGTTGATGAGAATTAGGTACTGTGAAGAATTTTATCATTTTAATGCCACAGATAATGCTGAAGAAGTAGCTCTTCTCATGCTTAAGAATTAGGACACGCACTTGTAGTTAAAAGAGATCTGTAGTGTCTTTCAGGGTCCAGTTAAAGGAATTGTTAGGCAAATTTTGAAATGAATTTTTGAGGAAGGGGGAAGTAATACAGTTCCTGTATATAACAAGGAATAAAGGAGCTGCTCTGCATATATGCATGCCTTTCTTTGAGGAAATAACCCTACTATTTGCTGTTGTTTTAATATTAGTTTTATCAGTTTTGTAGTTTGCTTAGTGAAAAATAGAGGCTTTATTTACTTTTATTTGTTTACCTTTTTACTATGTACCTTTATTTACTTTTAAGATATTAACAATGGCAGTAGCATTTCCATTTTATTTTGTAGAAGTCTAGTAAATGTAACCAAAATAATATAAAAATACCAAATTAAAGATGGAGCTCATTTCAGATTCACAGTTGAAATAGATGTCATCACAGTTAAGTGCTGCCTGCTAATGGGAAGGGTGGCAGTTTGACCCCACCCAGCAGTTGTTGTGGAGAAAGACGTGATGTCTGGCTTTGTAAAGGATACAGCATAGAAAACCCTAATGAGGAAGTTCTCCAAATTGCCCTACATTGGAATCTACTCAGCCGGTACCCAGCAGTGCTCTGACCATTCGAGTACTGTGTGGGAACTTTGTAGCCAAAGCCAACATAATTACATTTAATATAAGCATTATTTAGCACTTAGTGCCTCATAGCATTTTCTAATCCAGTTGTAGAAATTTTTCATAATCAAGAAAGCTGTTAATGAGATAATGTCATGGTAGAGTAATTTCGACTTTGTTCATTCAGGTGCCTTCGCTACACAGTACTTGATTGCTGGAGCTGGTTTGAGCCACATTTTTGGGAAGTTTTCTTATTAGAGATACTAAAAAACCCACAAAAAACAAAGTGAACTGATAAGAGTCTTTCCAAGTGATAATTAGCCCTTATTGTTTACAAGAAATTTCTGAAATATCTTTATGGTTCTTATGAAAATATTTGGATCTTTTCACTTTAAGAAACACTTAAAAAAAAAAAAAGAAAGAAATACTGTAATGATTATAGCTTGAGATGCCCAGCCAAGGACAAAGCAGGTAAATTAAACATATATCCAAATATTTCACAACAATGAAAATATAAAATCTAAGTCTCAATGCTAGTGTTTTTCTATAATTTTATAATAAAGTATATGCCATGTCCTTTAAAACTAGAAAAAATATAAGCTTTCAATCCATGGTATGCTCCTGAGAATATTAGAACCAGGAAAGACCAGGTTTTTTCCATAATTTCAGTCAGAAAATGAAAAAACTCTCTACCATGAAGTTGATTCCACCCTACAGCCATCCTCCATGGAGTTTCTGAATCTGTAAATCTTTTTTTTTTTTTTTAATTATTTTGTGTGCGTGTACCATCAAATCAGATCTGACTAGTACAGGAGGATATTGTACCTCCTTCTCCGGCAGAGCGTCTGGTGGATTCGAACCGTGTTCCTCTGGGATTGCAGTGCAGTTTCTTGCCACTAGGCCACCAGAGCTCCCCTAGAATCTGTAAATCTTAATGGGAGGAGATTTCCCACCTTTCTCCCAAGGAACCACTGGTGGATTAAGATGTCCTCAGATGTGCAGACTTTTGGTTAGCAGGCAAACATGCTTTGCATTGTATTATCAGAGCTCCTTCAGAATTGAAACCTTAATAAAACCCCTGCTTACCAACAGTAAAAAACAGAACTCCTCTGGTTGCCCTGGGTAGGCTCCTTCCCTGGTGGAACCCCCCCCCCCCCGCCGAGAATGCTTCCTCATGGTGGTGGTGGTGCCTCATATGTGCCTTTGAGTTCACTGCAGATGAAAAATTTGTGACTCAGGGAATGTATGATCTGTGGTGCCATGCAGGAAGAATGTGCTATATTTGATCAGAAAGAACCCAAATATCTCCTGTGATAGCTCATTTTCCCCCCTCTATTCCATGTTGATCCTGTTTGTGTGAGTTAATCAGATATTTGGTCTTTTAAGTCCAGTAAGCACTGGTGATTAGTTCTTTGCCTTGTACAGATTACTTACCCTCTCTGATTTTCAATTTCCTCAATTTTGGGGGGGAAAAAACCCACTCCAGACCTACTCAGCACACTTTTTGTACTTAATATATAAGTTTTGGGTTTTTTTTAAGATGCCACCAAATTTAGTCCTATGCATTGTAACTCATATATGTCAGAGTAAAGATGTGTTCTTGGGGTTTTCCATGGTTGATTTTTCATAAGTAAATTTCCTAGTCTGTCTTTGTAGCTACCTCTCTGTGGTCTCAAACCTTCAGTTAGCAGGCAAGAACTTTGATTGTACCATTCATCTAGTATAGTGTGTTTTTTATAATGTAGTGTTCATAATGGTGATTACATTACATTGAAAAACAATTTTTTTTACCTTAAAGGAGGCAAAGATATAGAATATCTTCACGGTTTTATCCTTCTTTGAATTAATGATCATCTAATATTATCAAAATCCTTGTGATCCACATTTTGCTTCAACAATTATTTGTTATTTTTCTAACAGTCATTGTTTTGGTGGGATAGAGCACTGAACAAAACTGATAAAAACCCCATGGATTTAAAGGCCACAAGGGAATTTATCAACCCTAGTAATCAACCCTAGTAAATTATTCCTAGGGAGCTCTGGTAGTGGTAAGAAACTAAATTACAATCCCAAAGGCAGGTCTTGTCAAACCCACCAGCTGCTCCATGAGAGAAGGTTAGGCAGTCTCCTCCTGTGTGATTTCCTGCCTCTGAAAACACGCTGGAGGGTGCTCTGGGTCAGTCCCCACTCGACAGCACATAACAGCAAGAAGTTATTCCTACATTTCTCTGCCACAGAATTGGCTCTGTATTGTTGTTAATAGGTGCCAACTGCAACTCAGAGCAGCCCTGTTATCAGCAGATCTGACTCTTGTGCCCTGCACCATCCTCATGATGCCAACTACAAGTCCTAGCAGCCCTTTGGTCAGCAGACCCAAATCTGCCCATTTCGGCACCGTCCTCATGATCTCCTATATTCCTGAGCCCGTT